TTTTTTGGGATTATGATGCTTTTATAGTAAATGCGCGATGCACATATATGTACATATGTATGTGTTAAATATATGTATTTATATGTTTTTATTGAAGACTGATAAGTTAAAATTTTTTTTACTTATCGTAATTTCCTACTGGGTTGCTCATGCGGAGCAGTTCTCTTGTTCTCACCAACACAGAGTGAAAGCGCAAACAGTCAACGACGTAACGTAGACGTAGGTTGACGCAGACACGATCTACCTTATGGTACTCGCGTGTTAACGAAAACTCACCACCGAATGGCGGTGAAGTTGCCGTTGTTTCTCTCTCTCTCTATCAACAGTAAATTTTATATGCTGCTACGTACGTCAACCTACGCTTACGCTACGTCGTTGACTAACTGCGCTTTGAGACTTGAGATTTTGGGTTTGTGAAAAACAAAATTACTGGCGCGCTTTAAGGAATTAGCCCAATATCCCTTAGGCTAGCGATGGGCAGAATGTGCACATACGGGCAAAATGCCCAAACATGCTAACCGCGGGCAAATGGGCAAACCGTTGGGTTGAGGCGGTGCGGTAATTATGCCCGGGGGGGGGGGGGGTGAGGATCACAAAAAATTTTGCACGAATAGCATCTGTATGTGTGATGGGAATGAGAGAACAAGTATATGTGAGTTCTCACGAATGTGAGACCCCTTGGCTGCCAATGTTCCTAAAAGCACCAAACCTTGGGACAAATCAAAACATCATACATACTTATGAGTATAAAAAGATTTTCGTATCCAGAATAAAATGCACTAAATAAGCACTGAACATGGCGGGAAAGGTATTCTAATAGTATTTTATAGTTGTCGTATATTTTTAGGTATCTTCGGCTCAGCTAACATGAAAAAAGCTGCATGTATGCATATCTACATATTTTTGATGATTTGAAGATTTTAATTTTTAACGATGCAAAGTGAAGTGTATGTATATACATTTTGATTAAATCAAAGGTGTATATTTAATTTGACAGCACTTGTGCAAATGCTTTTTTTTTAATTGCAGGTATGTACATAAAAGTGCAAATAAGTTTTGCATTGACTACATTTTACAAACTCCAACGAGCTCAACAGTCACGAAAACGAAGACGACATTCTTATGACAATTTTTATACATTGTTTAATGCCACAAAATCCCAACACTGGCTATAAAACCACATAAAGAAGTTCCAATTTTGTTTTTGTTAAAAAACTGATGGTCTTTCATAAACATATGATCTATAATTTTATCAAATAAAATTTAACTGCTAAATTATAAAAGAAACTTTTTTCATAAGAGTTTAAGATTTAGCAGGATCCTAGCGATTTTTGTTTATTAATCTGGCGGGACGGCAGAAAGAGAAATGGCAACACTGGTGGTGAGTACCGACTTGCTTGCGCGCATATTAGCTGTTTTGTAATTCACTTTTGCATTGTCAGCGTGCAGTAGGGTTCAATCGATACCACTAAAGTATCACTCTAATGAGTACTTGTACTCAAAAGACTGCAAGTATCGATACCTACTCAGTATCGGCAAAGTATCGAGTACTTACATGAATTCTTTGGAGAGATACTTCCCTTTTTTGTTGTACAGTCGTATGATTACGTCTTATCATGATTTAAAACAGGGATGGGCAAATTTTTGACTCTTAAAGCCGTCAAAGAGCCAGCACGTGCTACGCAAGAGCTAAATCAGTTCTTAGGGTAAAGGGGTGTCCAAAATACATTAAAAGCATCATATATATTAGTAATGAGAGCCGGAGTACAAGAAATTTGAATACGCTCTTCTTCCCCGCTTCATGCTGGCTCTTGATGTTACCCCTCATCTACCATCTAAATATGCCAAGCCAGCTCCTAAGTGCAAAAGGCTTCTGGGAGCCACTTTGCCCATCTCTGGTTTGTATGTCAAAATCAAATAAAAAGCCAATAAAGTTGCAGGTGTAGAAAACGTGTATATTTAAATTATTTAGTAAGAATACAGAATAATGATTAATTAGTATCTGTGGCACATTACCAAGGAACAGTATTGGTTATAATTTTTTCAGTCATATGGGTGTATAGGTCACCCAATATGGATAAGTTTAGAATTTTTATTTTGGTTTTTATTTTCAAATTAGTTTTATTCACTTTTTTATAAATAATATAGTTCGTTCCATAACAAAAACCTTGTTAATCCAAGTTTAAAACTTTGTACAAAAATTAAAAGCAATTCAACAAAGTTTCATCAAAGAACGTAAATAATAGGAAGGGACAACTTGTGCCTTCTCTTTTGCGCTAGTACGTTTTCATCAATATTCCACACATTTTATTCTGAATAAAAAGTGTTTAATTTGGTAAAACTTTGATTTTCTTTTAATTTTTGTACAACATTTGAAACTTGGATTTACATGGTTTTTGTCATAGAATGAACTATATTTTTTATAAAAAAGTAACTAAAATTAGTTTGAAAATAAAAATAAAAATCCGACACTTATCCATAAGGTCACCTCTATAAGTATACAGCACACTGCATCATTTACAAACTATTTATGAACAAACATTGTATTGTTTCTTTTAGTACATTGCTGAGGAACAATATTAGTTATAATTACATATATGAATTTATATAAGTATATTATTCTCGAAATATTTATGAAAAAAATAGCTTTTGGGGCACACTGCCAAGAAACAACAACTTTTCTAAATGCTTTACAGACAAGCGATTTCTACTTTCTGTACTACATGACCGCACTTTCCGCGAAAACTCTAATAACGGGCGTCATTTGTTGAGTTTCCGTTGCAATGATAAAAGTAGTAGAAATTACACTTTCGATACCAAGTACTTTTTTTTCGAAACTTACTTGATACCGAACAAAAAGGTAACGAGTAAAAAATACTTGGTATCAAAAGAAAAATATCGAGTATTTACTTGTATCGATTGAACCCTAGCGTTCAGTTGGTTGCAAATTTTCAAAGGGAGGGGCTGTTCTTGCGCAGATAATTTTTCGTTAGAAATTTGCTTGGAAAAAAGGATAATCATGCGCAAAACAACATTGTTATATGACGGTTTCTACCGACTGAGCCAGTATGAATTAGCACATACTATTTTTTACATATCTATAATCAATTTAAACTTTATTGATTCATTAATAAAAAAAATTAAATCGGTCCGCATTTCATGATGTTGAATTATTTTTAATAAATGGACTACAAATATACCCTACCAGTGTTACCATTGTGCGACTAAAGTGCCAAATTGACACTTTTTGGAGTTCGATGCCCTTTGATTTATTTTGACACTTTTCCGAAAAATCATGTGATTTTCCCCTTTCTGTGATTTAATATTCAAAGACATTTAAAAATTACACCTCTGGCCAGATTTGGACTGATTTCAGCCTCTTTATTATGTCAAATATTTTCCGAATAAATGTCCAGAAGTAGCATGAATTAATGCACCGTTATTGGAGCTTAGCATTTCCCCCAATTTATTTGTGTTAAATTTATTATTAATGATTTATGTACTATTTTTAACTGTAATTTTGTTTTCATACTAAATGCAAAATATGCATATCGCGTCTTTTTAATATATCCCTCATCAATAGGTTATTGTTTTAAGAGAAAAAACTATTTTTGACAATTTATTCAAAATAATGGGGTGTAGTCATAGATGAAATAAAGTGTACCCTAAGCTGCTTTTTTTGGCAGATTTTCCGTTAAAAAAAGCTAAAACTAGCGTTAGAGTAGATTTTATTTCGACTATAAATATGCCCTACCGAGTTCCGAAAGATAAAATAATGAAAGTCTTTATATACATGGTATAAACGATTTGAATGACTTGAAGACACTTTTTTCGGCTGTGACACTTTTTTGCGACTTTCGAAAAATTTTCAGCGGTAACACTGATCTCTACCTTAGGCGGTTACTGAGCCAATCAAGAAACGGAATATGTACACAGTTAAATATACATGGAAATATTACGAAATAAGGCATGCAAGTTGAGTTGATGGAACTGCATCAGGATTGAGTTGTCTTCTCTTGGCATTTGAATAATTGATTTAACTCGATTTGGAGTGCAAAGCACAAATCCTGGATGATGCAGTCAGTTGAACACCACACGCATTTATCGATTTCCTTTCCTGTGTAACATCTTTCGGCATAATAAGCACACCTTCCTCTTTATTGTGGGTAGTTCTGCATAAGCAGCTTTTTATTTTCCAAAACAAACTATTTTTGGAATTGTAATAAAAAAAATTTTGATTTGAAATACATTTATAATGTTTCTACGGGAAAATTGGTTAATGCAATGACAAATATGTTATCAAATAAGCGTATCGAAAATAAATATGGCATATATTGATTTCACTTTGTTTATTACACTATGCTACGTAGTAACTACAATGTTTTTTATTATGAGAGTGACTACGATGTGTGTCTCTAGCATAAGACGCTTGAAATTTTTATGAAAATTTGTTGAATTTTGTATAAAGTTTGAATTTTTTTTATATCGTTTTGGGTAGAGCTTGGATGATAATTCTATAGAAAAATAACCAAAAAATTATAACTGGAAAAACATACGAATATTTAACAAAAGTCAACACGTGATCTCTTGTTTGAGTCACTGTATATTAAATTTGTTAGTATTTTTCGCATGCATCGTAATGTAGAAATATTTACATACTTACATGGGCGTAGCCAGGTAGGGGTAGGGGGTGCTCGAGCCTCGCGTCCGCCCCCCCCCCCCTAACTTTCAAATTTTCCTTATATATATATAAAATAGTACCCTGAAATGCCAGCTTAATAGGGTCGAGCCCCCCTAAATTTCATTCTGGCTACGCCGATGCATACTTATATACATGGGTAGGTACATATTTACATTGGTGAGTGGTATGCAAAATGAACAAGGCAAATAAAATGGCATTCATTAAAAAAGGTATGTGTATGCGACACAAGTGACTTAATTTACTTTATATTAAACCTAGAAGGTAATGAGAGTGTAATTATGTATGTGATAAAACAAACCGTTTTCCATATCCAACGGCGGTCCGTCAACTGCTTCTCCCAAGCGTGGATCACTGACTGTAAAATATATCTCCTGACTCACGCCACTTGGTATGGCACCTGGTGGTATCTGCAGTGAAACATTCCAAACATTATCAGCTAATGTTCCTCCGTTTGAATCGAAAATTCCACGAGTGGTGGCTGGCTCTCGAGGATTGGATGGAAATGTTTCTGTGGGCGAAAAGCCAGCAGCAGCTGGCGTAGACAAGGATACTGGGCCGGCAATTGGCAAGGACATATTACTAGTGTATGGTGTACTACTTGCTTTGGGCGGACCAACAGGTAAACTGCCTTGAGATGTGTACTGGGTTTCGAGAGATGTGCTACTTTCGGCTTTTGCAGTGTTGAGTGGAGGGCCAGTATGCTTTAGAATGTTTGAAATATGGAATGATACGCGCGGAAAGCGATTGTTGCTGATTTGTGTTGGCTTTTGTGGATCCAAAGGTTTAATCGGTGGTCCTTCTATAACTAAAGGTGAACATATTAAAGTGTTTGCTTCAAATACTTTATCTGAGAGTTTGGAAGTCTCCTTACATAAAGTTTGCAATGCAATATCATTGTTTTTGTCAGAGAAATTAGAAGGTTGATGTGTTTTTTCACCTTCGTCATCGCCATCTTCCAAGTCATCATATACATCCTCACCCTGAACAAGTGGCGCTTTGCCTATTTGTAAGTTTTCGGATTGTGTTAATGTATTTGCTATGACTGTATCGGATGACTTTTGTAGATCCGATTGACTTAAACTACCCTCACTCTGATTAATTTCGTAAGCAGTACTTTCTGTCTTCTCTTCCTTTTTCTCATCAGTCTCATTTTCATTAGATTGTAAAACGTTTTCTTCTTTCGATTCGTAGATGGGCTCCGGTCGACCAGCACCCTTCTTCCTTGACACATATATGGGTTCAGCCATGCTATCTAAGGCTTCCCTTCGAGTTTGGTAAATTTGTTCTCTCAACTGAGCACGTGTCTTTAACGCACCCTCCTGGACTTCCCGTCTACTTTGGTAAATGGATTCACGATCTGACTTGTCATCGCGCTTTGGTTTACAATGGTTCAAGTAATTTCGATTAATTCGACTTTGTACTTCTCTGTGTGATTGGTCAACCGGTTCTATGCTTTCATTTGGTGAAGCGATATATAAATGTCTTCTTGTCATAATATCTGAATTTGGGGCTTTAAGCTGATTATGTAACATAAAATGATCAAAAGTTCTTTCGTATATTTCTTCTTGGCCATAAACCGGTTCAGTTGGTTCTGATATTAGCCGCTTGTTGATCATGCGATCGGCAGCAGTAGTACTATGACGCCGTATTAGTCTACGACCATTTCGATTCGAAGCTGCAACTGCCTCTGCTTGCCTTCGCTCCAGATCAATAAAAGCTCTATTTGCATATAAATCTTCATAATTAGTAGTGTTATATTCTTCCTGTATTCCTCTTTGCATATGAAGCACTGCCCCCATGTTACCATACATATCCTCGCTTTCTAGGTTTCTATAGGTGATATTCACTAGATCTTGGTGGTACTGTGCTTCATACGGTTGAGGATAATAGTGTTCTCTGCGTGATTCATCGTAGTACCGTCTTTCAAAGCCAGATGGATAGGTTGGATAGTCATCAGGATAAAAGGGCCTTTCCATACCCCGTTCAAGCATTGAATGTTGACGCTTGACCGATAATTTCGGAGTTCTTTCTGGCTCAACCATGCTATGCATACGCCTCAGAGGTCTTGTTGTTTTTATGAAAGCATTTTTTATTGCTACTAATGGGCTTTTGAGGACGGATTTCTTTTTCACTTTGTGCGGGGGCAACGGTGGAGGCATTAAGCTTTCTTCATAATACTGACGGGGTATTTCAGAATAATCGGATTGATAATTGAAATAATTACGATCATGATTTGGTTGTTTAGGACCTATTTGGCTGGAGTAACGTGACGCAGAACGTGAGCACGGGTGCCCTGGTGGTGGCGGAAGTATCGAGTGCGTATAACAGTCTTCAAATCTTTCATGGAATTGCTGCGTTTCGCTAAAGATATTGTTGAGTGAAGCGAAAATAGAGAATGTAGTTCATGGAGTGTGTAGAAGGATATTTCAAATTTTAATTGCAAAAACAGAAATAAATTTGGAAAAGAACACATTATTTTCCAGCTTGGAACAAGGAATAGGAGTTATATTAAATATGTATAAAAGTTGCGTATAGTGCGGGTTATTGGTTTCTATTTAAACTTTGGCTTCTTATATGTAACGTAGAAAATCATAACTGCAAATTGTCTGCTAAGCTGCCAGAAGATCAGAATCTCGTAAGATTTACTATGCTCTTCGGTTACAGCAATTTGGATATCTATGTAATTATGAAAGTTTTTGAAATTGTAAGCCGGATATTTAGAGACATTGCTGAAAATATATCACTCTCCCTTTCATACCTATGTACGTAAGCACGAGTATATCGGTGGGAATACATACATACGAGTATTTATTACCAATATTGAACATTTACAGTCCTATCTTTCTGTTCTATTCTGTGTTTGCGACTATGGACTAAACGCAGTGTTGCCAACTTTTTAAAATAAAAATCCATTGACTATTGTTGTATTGTGAGTTTTTCTATGAAAATGCACTTTGTAAAAATTATATAATACGACAATGTAAACAATGTGTTTACTTAAACAAAAAATAGTCTTCAATACTGACAGCCATTAATTTTTATTTTCCAGGTATATATGTACGGGGGTGGTCCCAGAAGTACCCGACCTAAAAAAGAAAACACCAAAATTTTGGGAAAAAATATATTTATTTTTCAACATAGCCTCCTTTCAACTCTATACACTTTTCCCAGCGATGTTCAATAAGTTCGATACCCTTTTTATAATAACTGTGCTTTTCCTCAAAATAGCCTTTAACTGCCGACATCATTTCTTCATCGTTAGAAAATCTTTGACCACGAAGTCAGTTTTTGAAGTTGGGGAACAGAAAATAGTCCGAGGGGGCTAAATCTGGCGAATAGGGTGCATGAGGTAGCAATTCAAACATTAATTAATTAATTCGCTAAAAACTCAATTGAAACCTCTTCACGAAACTGTTTTCAGTCGAGTGTGAGCAAACGCTGCACCCATCTTGCACACAGCTTTCTCATTTCTAAATCTTAAGATAATATGCGATGTACCATACTTTTTGAAATGCCTTCTATATCTGCTACCTCGCTCACTTTCGGTCGACGATCATCCATTACTGCTTTGTGGATTTTCTTCACCATTTCTGGAGTCATCACCTCATTTGGTCGACCACTGCGATGCTCGTCTTGGCAGCTCGTACGGCCTCGTTTAAACTCTGCTACCCAATATTTTACTGTTGTAAACGAAGGTGCAGACCCGCCCAAAGTAGAATCTATTTCAACTTTTATATTGGCTGGCTTGGGCTGAGGCCTTTCAAATAAAAGTATTGTATCACTTTCATCATCAATTTTCTTCATTTTCACGAATTCATTGAAAATGTTCACTATTGACGGCTGCCAAGCGAATACTAAACAACGTGGCGTCTTCAAACTGGAGACATATGCTTTATAGATTGTGTACTTTTTAATATAGTGATATTTTTCAAACAACTACCGCTATCTCTAGGTTAGGCCGTGTACTTCTGGGACCACCCCCGTACATTAGGGTGGTTCTTAAATGTAGGAAGCAAATTTTTACATCAGATTTCCTAAGCCTCGACCCCAACGCGATGCTACTATAGTCGCAATCGGGACCAAAATTTATATGTGATATCTTCGGCTTTAGTAGTATCGATTTTGGGTATTAAATGAAGAAAATAATTTTGATTCTTTGAGTACCCGTAGAGGCTTCTGGCCCTTTGCGACAGGTCTTAACCAACTCCAATCGGGACCAAAATTTATATGCGATATCTTCGACTATGGTAGTATCGATTTTGTATATTAGATGAAAAAAAAAAAAAAATTGTAATTTTTTGAGTCTTTATAGAGGAATCTGAACTTTGCCCCCTGTNAAAAATTGTAATTTTTTGAGTCTTTATAGAGGAATCTGAACTTTGCCCCCTG